GCGCGCCGGGGCGACGGGGTAGCGGCGGCCACCGACCCTCCCCGCCCGCTGCCGCCCCGGGTCCAGTCGGATGCTGGAAAGGAGAAATCAGGGATTGCAATTCCCGCCGCCCGAGGACGCGGGCGGACTGTGTTCAGGTCCCTCCGCTAGCCAGGAGCCTTGACCCCGGGCAGGTTTCCGGGGAGGACAATGGGATTTACTCACGCTCGCCCAGCTACGCCACAGCATGCATTTTTGCAGGATCAGGACTTTAGTCTCTGCTGTATCCCAGGACAGCACTTTTTTGTTGCTGTGATTTTAGCAGAGCCTTGGGAGCGCGCAACATGCCCAGGCTGAGTTTCTTTGATCAGCAGGCGAAGGGTTTTTTCGCTGCAATTACTGTCGTGACAAAAGGCAGGTGAAGCAGCTTGCCTCCTGCTACTTAGTCATCGCCGGAGACTGCCACGCTTTTCTTAAAAAAAAAAAAAAAAAAAAAAACCACCAGCTCCTGCAAATTCAAATGCCAGGAGAAAGCCTTTGAAATTTTTTTAATTGCATGAATTCAGTAAACATGCAGGTCCCCAGTTATCAGCTCTGGAAGACAGCGTCATTTCCCTGCCTTTCTCAGTAAGCTAGTACTAGTATATCCTCTTTTACTTGTAATTCATCCTTTTTGGAGGTGGTCTCTTCCCCCCTCCAACCCCTCTCATTCTCTGTTTTTGCAAAGGAAGCACGCTCCAGATACGCGGTGCTTTCATAAACAGCTCTTTCATTTTTCTGTGTTGCTTTAGACAGCTGTGGGCTTTCACAAGCCTTACCTCCTTCAATTCCTTTAGAAAAACCATAGAAATGTGATTTTTTTTTCTAAATAACCTACTAGAAAAAGGCCTTTGAGCCTAGAAAGAACAAATCAGCAGAGCAACCAAGAGAGTATATGGTCTGACGGCCTTGACTCATCCTCTCTTAACGTTGCCTGCAGCGTAGGTAGGAACCTGTAGCTTGGAATGAAGGCGTCTTCATAATGTTCCTTTAAAGTGGCTCTGATATACATATATATCTCAAAAAGAAAAAAAAAATCCCAGACCTACCTCCCCTACGAACCATTTAAGCCAGATCTACAGCTTCACCAATCAGACCGCAGGATCCGATGAACTTATCTGCCCTATCTCACAGGGCTGCTGGGAGGATGAGCCTCGCACAAGGCTTTGAAGATAAGGTGCTCTCTGGGTGTGCTGGCTAAGCAGCATCAGAAGGTCACCTGGCATCTTCACCAGGGGAAACTGCAGGACGACCTTCTCATCAGCTGGGTCGCTTTTAATCCAATCTTGAAACAGAAAGGCTGCTTCGACCTTTCTTGGTCTTTTTTGGACTAAATTGCTGCCCTCCCAATTTCCAAAATAATTTTGATTAATTCAGAAAGGAAGCATTAATATTTAAGGAAGATAAATCACCTTGAGTCCATCTCATAAATCACTGCGGGCATGTCTCCCCTTCCCTGTCGCGCCACGCTAGCTACGCTTCCCGCTCTGGCGAGGAGACTCCTCGTCAACCCCGGGCTCTGCAAAGCTTTGCCGAAGTCCCCAACGAACAACGAGGGGTTTCTCCCCGTGCCAGAGGAGAAGGAAGGAGCAAGGGACAGGCAGCATCTGTGCAAGTGTGCAGGGAGAGGGAAGGTACAGTGCAGTGCTTTCTGGGTACTTCAGTATTCGTTTTCCCTAAAAACACCCCTAGGAAAACGTGCCTGTCTGCTTTGCGCAAGGCATATACATGTTAAAAACATCGATAAAGAGTCCAAAGTAAAGCAGAGAGGAAGACCGGACGTTGCTCAGTCTCTGGTGCTCCCTCTTCACTAACTGGGATCTGTCCTGAGTCTACTTAACTGCCCTGGGCACGAGGACAGCTCGAGGCGCTCGTGTCACCTGGGCAACGCGTTTTATTGTTTCCATTAATCAAATTGCTTGTTTGTGCAAGTGGTCCCAACCAATTCCTGTCTGCGGAAGTGGCTCCCCGCTGACATCCCACCCTTGCACAGCCAGGTGCCCTTTATCTAAGGAGAAATCCAGCAGCGGGGGGATCCGACCAGTGGCCAAGCACTTGCCCGTTCCAGATCAGAATCTGACCACGACTTCCTGTGTGGCCAGCAGCACTTGTGCTCTGTTGCCAATGGAGGGAGGCGTTTTGGCAATAAAGCCCGACCAAACGAAAAGGTGAGAGAGCACCTTTCTGACCTCTCTGCGCAGGAGGTAGCATTTCATTTAGACTTTTTTTCCGGTGATCAACAGAGACAAGAAAGCAACTTTCCCTCAACAGCATCTCCAAATACGGAGAACTGCAGAAGCCCTTTCAAGTCTCTTTTGTCGTTCCGTCATCTGCAACAAATCTAAACTAGTTTCCATTCAGCTACCAAGTCTTCCTGCCATGACAGAGAAGGTCAAAGACTCGGGTAACGGGGAACTTCTGCAAAGTACTGCTGCAGTTTTGGGGCTACACCACCTCCTACAACGGCTCTGCTGAGTGCTTAAACATCCCTTCCAGCAGTTCAATCACAGAGAAAAACAAGGAGGAGGAAGTTAAGGAGACTTCCACTGTATACGAGTCTTCTCTTCCTCTTTATAGCAAAGCTAGTGAGAGGTACTCCCAGGGCGTGCTGGTGCACGACGATCCTGGGCATCCAGTAGCAACAAATAAGTAACCGTCCAGGGAAAAAGGAAGACGTTGGAATTCCTTTTAGTATAAGTGTAGTGTTCAGTGGATTTGCTATTTCAAAGACCTGCTGAGTGAAAATACTCATATATCCAGAGAACCCAGAACAAATCTTATTTAAAAAAAAAAAAAAAAAGCTGTTTGAGCAAAAATGAAACTGCCTGATGATTAAGTTTGTCCTCAAGGGACTACAACTCAGCTAACTGCAAAGAACAATACAAAATCAATTTTTCATTCACAAACGCATAAACACAGGCATATTTTAGACAGCAGGGAAAAGAAACAAGCATAGACTGCCCTACAACTCAGAGCAGCATTTTGATGTCAGGCTTCCAGTGACATGACAAACGTTTGGAAATGCATCTGCAGTTCAGATAATGAGAGGCAATATATACCCTCATACCGACAAGTTTTGAATAAATTCTTGAATCTCCATTAAGCTGAATGTTAACATATACAAAACATAGATGCCGAGTGAATTATGATCCTATTTCTAAGTGGTGGACTGGGATACTTCAGTCTTTCACAGGCATGAAGACCTTAAAAATACTTAGGAAGACTCTTGCTTGAAGCCTGATTCCTGACGACACACAAAACGGCTTGCTTTAAAGATACATTTGCTCTGTCCATGACACTTGACAGTATAAGGTGCCGTCTGCATCCCACTCCATCAAGCCCATGAGCTGCCCAGTGAGAAACAGAAAACAAGCCAGGGTGCCGCTTACCGGGAGGTGGGTGAACACAGCAAACGTGCTGCGTAGGAAGCCGATGAGATCTACCAGGTAGTCGCTGGCTTTGCTGCCTGGTTCCACGGCCATCCAGTCGTAATCTGCCAGCTGCACGAATTGGTCTATCTTCTGATTCAGATTAGTGTAAATTTCTTCCTCTGCAGCATGGCGGGCATCCTAAGAAATAAGACCACGTCATATAGAGTTTCAGTAGTGCAGGACTGAATACATGCTATGCAAGTCACAGGACATGGGACTGACCAAGTCCTTGTCCTTACCCTTAAGGTGGCTCAAGGCAAGCTCTCCATCTTGGAGACATTCAAAAGCCATCTGGACAGGGTCCTGGGCAATGTGCAATAGGTGATCCTGCTTGAGCAGGGGGGTTGGACTGGATGATCTCCAGAAGTCCCTTCCAACCTCAACCATTCTGTGATTCTGTGAAGGTGCTCCTACACATCTATGGGTTTATCACAGCCCTTGTGCCAGGTCAGAGGTGGGCATGGGCATGGTCAGCCTCACCAGGCAAGACCCGGAGAGCAGGAGGACAAATCTAGTGTGGAAGGGGAGAGACCGGGAGGGGACTCTCCCGTACAGAGAACTGTGGTGGAGATCGGGCATGGACTCCAGGCTATGGAGCTCTTTGCTGAACAAGGCTATTCACAGCTCTTCCCAACACGGATGTCAGGCTAAGCAGAGGGTCTCTTCTTTATATCTGTGTTTCGCCCTTTTTTTTCCTGCCCTCCTGGATGAAGAGGAAATCAGACCTCACTGAATATTCCCAGAGTGCTCCTCCATCTGTGGGGCAAACCTCGCCTAACCAATTCCCTACTGTTGTCAGAGTCTTTGGCACTTTTCCTGTCCTGTGCCCTCTGGATACAGGACACAATTCAGATGCTCCAAAATTGGCCTAACTATATAGTCTTAAGACTTTATATAGAGCATCTGGGGTGACATTCCTGGGTTATGATTGGAAGACAGCCAGATTGGGAAGTCTAGCAGTTTCTTCCAGCCCCACTTTTCAGGGAATACTAAAAGGAGTGAAAAGACAAAGAAATGTAAGTTCTGAAAGCCTGTTCTCCTAGTGGGAAGCAAGAGAGCTTGCATTCATGAGCAGACAAATCGCAAAACGATAAAACTAATTTTTACAAACAGGACTTTGTTTAAAAGTTGCTTAAGCCTTTAGATAACGAGCTCTGTGGCCACAGTCTGTAAAATTAGGGCTAGTAAGGCCCACAGAGGTTACACATACAGCTGCTTTGAAGGAGCAAAAAGCTAGCGTGCTGCTGTGTGCTTCTCACGGTATGACGAAATTACCGTTCGGCTTAGCTCAGCTCCCTACCTACCCGCACTCACACACACTTTGCAAACAGATAGTCTTCAACAGAGTATCTACAACAGCACGTCCCTGGAGGTCACGTTTACTAGCTCTCTCACCTTGAAGGTTGTGGTCCCATAGAGCTTCGTAGTGTGGACAGTTTCTGGAAGTACATTAGTGATATTGGTTATGAATTCCTCTAGGAACTTGCAGGATTTCTCCAAATGGGTTGTGTTAATAATAATCTGTACAAGCTGCAAAAGGCAAAAAACGTAGTCAAACATTGTTTGAGCTCCTGAAGCCAGGGACATGCCAGATTAAGGGATGCCAACTTATAAGATCTTCTGTCATGAAAAGCTGACACTGTACAAACATACTACGCTCTGCCACACACTAAGAAAGGCTGTCTTCCTTCAACAACATAAGAAACTTAAATAAAGGATAACATTTTGGAAAATGCATTTCCCATGACAGCCACTAATACCACAAAAGATTTTCTTTAGATGAGTTTCCTATATTCAGCTGTCAATCAGTGTTCATTTCAGTACAGTTCAAATACAACAGGCTTACAAAGAAATGCCCTGACAAATCACAAGTATTCTGTCTGCTAATGAACCCTAAATAACCTATATCTTGAGTGACACCGAACAACATTGTACTAAGGCATTTAACAAAGAAACCACAAGGTAGCTTGGTGGCAATTACAAAATGGTTTTACTTTTCTAAGGGTGGTGTGGGTGAACAGAAGATCTCATCCTGCTGTCTTTCAGGTTATCATACCCACCATTATCTGCAATTTTCTTAATGCTGTCTTCTCAACTTCCTTCACATGGCACTATCTTGGGACATTAAAGGTAACTACAGCGTAAAAGGCTCCGCTAAAGTCAGTCAGCACAAACATTTCTAGTCCAGCACGACATAATCAAGGTTTCCATGTTAGGATCACTGAACTGGAAGTTAAATATGCCATTAATTCCTTAAGCAGATACCTGTTTCCCATACAGACTGCTGTGACTATTTCAAAGTGTAATATAAGCTATAACAAAACTATTCCAAACAATTTCTAGCTCAGATATCATGCCAAAACAGGTCTCTTACAATCACAAAAGGTATTCATTTCAATGCTCCAGACTGACATAACTTAATTGCTGAACGAGGGTATGGCGGTCTGTAACACCTCATTTACAGAAATGATTTTGAAGCACTCAGAAATCATTTGTTTCTGAATTAGATGGAAACTGGCAATTCCTATCCTTTCTTTTCTCCTTTTGCCCATTTGATCCTTTTATGTTTAAGCACCTATTTGAGTGTAGCGGTCAAACAAATATCGAAGTAAAGCTACAAAGATTATAGAGCCCAACTCTTGTTAGTGCCAGATGACATAAGCAGAGGAAATGGCCACAGACTGGGAGACTCAAACTCTTGTTAGTGCCAGATGACATAAGCGGCCACAGACTGGGAGGAAACGGCCACAGACTGGGAGACTCAGCTTGGACATTAGGGAAAAAAAAGTATCGTTAGGAAGTCAGTGCAGCACTGGAACAGTTTGCCCAGAGAAGCTGTGGGATATACATTTTGGAGAAAGCCAGCTAGAGAAAGCCGTGGCTGACCTGATCTAGAGTTAGCGATAATCCTACTTCCAGTAGGTGGTTGAACCAGAGACCTCCAGAGGTCCCTTCCTGCCAACTCTTCTGCTATTCCAGTCAGTCTTTCTTCAAAAAAGTTAAATCGTGATTTGAAGTCCTTTTATTTTGTACTTGGTCTCTGAAAAGTATTACGTAGGTAACTAAGAGAGATCCTCACTTCTGAATTCCTCGGATTAACTCTGTTCCTTATTTTTGCCTTCATATAAGCGGTCATCTCTTGGCCTTTCCTGATTTTGTACAATGCTTTGCTAGCTTAGCAAGCAAGGCTTATATAAAACCAGTTGCTGCTTAAATTGGGTAGCCAGTTCCTCCCTGCAGTAGGAAGACCAAAACGTCACACCTCATATCAGGGTCTCCACTGAGCAAGAACGTCTGAAGGAAAGATAACGGAAAATCAACAGTAAGATCATCGCAGCTTCATCATCATCTAATGGCCAGCAGCAAACCCATCCATGAGGGTCAAAAGCCTGTTCTCTCACAGCAGGTGTCTTGCTGTTCCGTCCGTGAAGAGCCTTTTCATTTTCCTTGATAGAGAATCCACAGAAGCTATGTGCCTTCACTGGACTGATAGAAAATTCCTCATAAGTACACCTTGACTGCCTTTTGTCTGGATCGATCAGGCACTAATAGGTCGCAGCTTCCTGGTCTAGTCCATCAGATAGCCCTGACATCAGGTTTGTGACAATGTTTTCCAGTAGTTTAAACTTCATTAAATGTTAGATACATCCAACTGTGCGACATTCCTCCTAAACCTCTTCTCCGATCATCACAACTTACAGGTTGAGATCAGCTATCCAACTTGAAGGCACAAACTGAAACATAGCAAATTCCCCTTGAACATAAGAAAACACTTCCTCGCTGTGAAGATGGTTGAACACTAGAACACGTCGCCCAGAGAGACTGTGGAGTCTCCATCCTTGGAGATATTCAAACCCTGACTGGGCACATTCCTGAGCAACGTGCTCTAGGTGACCCTGCTGGAGTAGGGGGGTTGGATCAGATGATCTCCAGAGGTCCCTGTCAACCTCAACTAGTCTATGATTCTGTACGCGCTTTGATTCTCTTCTAACACTTGTCATGAGCTGTCCTGCTCCCTCCTCTCTGGCTCCTTCATGTTCTGATCTTCTCTTAAATATCGGAGGGTAGGAGAGGGAGCACCTTGTTGGGGTCTTCAAATGAAACAAAATAGTAGCTTCCTTCCCCTCCTTCTTTGCTGAGGGAGGGTCATTCAAAATGTGTGATCATAATATGTGAGATCATAATTTGCTGCCCAGATGGAAGCTCTTTGCCACACTGAAACTGATTTCTTCCATAACAAGAGTCCTGCTTTCTATATATATATATATTTTTTAATCCCTGATAGGTAATTCCATGCCATGGGGTATAAACCTGGAGGTTTCAGTGCAGATGTTGGGTCTACTTTTATGTAATTACAAATTTACAGATCAGACAGTGGTCTCAGTATCTTTATCAGCACATGCCCCTGCACCCTGCCTGATCTTCCTTCCTTCTCAGTTAAGCAAACAAGCACTCAGGGTGAGATATCTCAATGGCTCAAGGTCAGAAATCCACTTTCCCTTTGTTTTTTTTTCCCCTCACTGGAAGGGTCATTGCAGACAAGCAGGACAAACAGCGAATTATTTGGAGCAGACTTGGCAACAACTTCCAACATCCACTGCTCAGAGGCAGCCCAGAAAGACAGCAATGAAAAGTGGATTGAAGAGGATTAACAGATTGGTAAGGTTGGTACCTTCTCCACTGCTTGGAGGAAGATACTGGAGTGCCCAGAAAAAGACGGTGTTGCCTTCTGTGAGAAATTAAATATTTCTCTGAAGAGTGACATTTATGCAAAATACTTAAATGCCTTTGGAGACCCTTTTGACTATGCTTGCATAGGATCTAGCACTCTTTTTTTTTTTTTAAACTGAAGAGAGGGAAGGCTCTGAGAAACTCAGAGGAAGAAATGCTGCATGCTGTCATTTGGATGCACAGGTCATTGTTTTTGCAAAAAAAGGAAAGAGGCAGGAGGGAACTAAGGCACACAAACTATTTTTTCTTCAATTCAATTAGAAAAAAAATGACAATAGAGACAATATAATGAAGGGAGAAGTCACTCATACATTAGTTGTATCTTGGCACACGGTGAGGACGAGAGGGAGCAGGGGATAAAGTTGCATTCCTTTTTCTACAGGAAGGCTCAGGAGGAGCAGGGAGGAGGAGGAATTTGCCCCCAAGGAGCAGAGAGATGCCAGACAGTAAGATAAAGCTCTGAGGAAATATCCTGTGTCAATACACACTGCCGCGACCGCACTGAACTCTCCAAAACACACCTGCACTGGGTATTTGCAGTGCCCAGAGAGCCCAACAGATTTTAGGCAATTACATCTTCACAGCTGCAACTGTATTAATAAATGCTCATTTAAAAACAGCACACAGAAGCCCCAGCAAGGCGTCCAAACTGGCTTAGGAGTCACAAACGCTCCCAAATAGTCGTGATTTGCATGCATTAAGTTTACCAGAAATCTGAGCTTGTGCACAGAAAAACATCAATCTCAAAACCCGAACACAGACATAGAGCTTTTGCTGAAACTGCTGTGAACATCATCTCTGGAGAGGACCGTTCCCTCCTGCCCCATCCTCTTAAAATCCCACTTTTCTCTTCTCTAGCGCAAAACCACCCTGACACTCCCTGACAACCTCCTACCTGCCACTTTATATCTGATACATACTACATGGAAAATTCAAAAGTAAGGGAAACCCGAACGGCAGCTGCCAAAAAGCTTCCTCTTTCCCCGAGCGCAAGGCGCTTCTTGCTTCGTACGGGAACGCTGTGGAGTTCCCTCGCTGTTTTCAAGCCAAGTATTTTATAACAAGGCTCCAGACTAACATCTTGAAAAGGCACTGCAATGAGCTCCACCGGACCAAATTCTGCCCCGATGGGGCAACCCCTCCGCTCGCGGCCGAGCCTTACCTCGGTCAGCCCTACGTTCTTCCTCTTAATGACGTTCTGTAAACAGTTGCTCAGCGTTCGGGTCAGCAGCAGATTTGTCGATTTTCTGATCATGTCATCGACTTCCGTCGAGCTGAAAAGTAGAATTTAAGAAGAGATCTGCAAAGCGCTCTATCCCAAAGAGCAAAAAGTAAAACTGCCTGAAGCCCTCCCCACCCGGTCCACTTGCCACGCACCCTGGCTTGTGCCCGGTCGCGCGCCCCGCATCCAGGCACCGACACGCTCGCACATACCGATATATTAGCGCAATTTCGACCTTTTCACGCACGCTTAAGTTTTGCTGATTGTGAACGCATGGTAAAAGGGATCATATACCTGCCTTGGAAAAGAACCAAAAAAATCCTCCCACCCCTAAAAAACCTGATCCACTCGTTGCTTTCTTTTACTAAACCAGACTCAGAAACTCTTGTAACATGTTAATGGCCTTGGCCAGACAGTTGCGACTTCAGCACTGCTGTAGTTTGAGGGGTTGGTTTTCTTCTTTTTTGATGTTTTCATAGATAAATGCTGTTAAAGGGAGCCGGTTTTTGCAAAGCGACTGAAGTACTGCCGGGACGCTGCCTTGCCCCTTCAACGCACGCACACACGCACGCTCCAGCAAGGTGCAACCTCTCCTTTTTGAAGGAGGTTTTGGAAAACAACCCGCACGCACACTCCTTTGATCTGTCACTGGCACTGCATTAGGCCTGACACGACGGGTTTATCTCTGAGAGCCCCATGACAGGCAGCTGCCGGCCGGGACAGTTTCAAACTGGAAGGCTCCGAAACATTCCTAATTCGAAGGCTCCTGCTAAACCAACCCCGCGACCTCTTGCTCCTCGTCCTGTTTTACCTGACGAACGGCCGGATCGCAGAGCCGAGCGTGGGCTGGTAAACGAGAGCAAATCTTGGCATTCCTCCGGCGGCCACCACAGGGCACCGCCAGCCCCCTGCCACCTTGCGGGGACGCGCCGGCCAGGCGCAGCTAACTTGAGACCGGACGCACCAGACTGAGCATGGGAAGCTTGGTCTGGTGCATGAGCCGGCCCGACACGCGAGAAGCCAACGGGGCCAGCAAGACTGCGTCTTCTCCAGTCTTCTCATCGTCCCCGAGCAAGGTCACACTCCCATTTCAGCAAGGCTGGGGACACCATGTCTTGCTGTAGCTTTCCCAAAGCAAAGCCCAGCTGCACAAGTCCCTGTGCACCCACTGGCTGCTCCCCACACTGTTCCCCAGCTGGTTTCTCCGTTATTCCTTCTCCTTGATCTCTTCTGAGCCGCAGTTCTGCCAAGGGCTGGCCACTGGCTCTTCCCAGTTGTGTGCAAGCCAAGGAGGGTCAGCACTGTGGCACGGTCTAGCTCCTCATAACTTAAATTCAATGCCAGTAGCCAAAGCCTTAGTGCGGGTCTCTCCTAGATGATCATCACGGCTGGCCAGGAGCTTGCACGTCTCCTGCTTGGAGGAGAACAGCACCCTTCATCAGGGACGATGGGGGCGAGCCCGTTCCTCGGCTCGGATGGATGCCTCGGCTCCTTCGAGGAGGGTTTCGATTCGGTTTCCAAGGTGTTGCATTTGGGTTTTAAAAACGCGGAGCCGAAGCCAGAACGCAAGGGACGGAGAAGCCAGCCACCGACTTTTTTCTGATCATTTTACTATGGTTGGGGCTCTCAAAGAAGGTTTTACAACCCCCCCACAAACCCACACATACACAGAAACATGAAACGCGTGTGCACGCACACGCACACCCATGCACACCCCGGCCCGGCCTTCCAGCATCCTCCAGGAAGAATCTAACTGTCCCCAGTCCCCCACCACCAGATAAGAGCACAGTTAAATACAGCCAAGTGTAATAAAATCAAACCCTGTGAAAATCCACAGGTGGTAAAAGGCAAAGTCTTCTTCTTGAAGAGGATGCTTAAAGTCAAGCGCTGGTATGAAGGGCCCCGCGACAGCCCGGCGCGGGTGCTGCGAGTTGAAGAGGTGGGCGCCAGGCTGCGGGCAAGAAGGGCTGCATCCACGCGAAGGAGGGGAGGAGGAAAAAAGACTGCATTTCTCCACGCACTCCGTCCCTTTGGTGAACTACACCAGGAGATCACGAAATATGGCGCGCAGGAATTCGTGCAATCAGTCTCCGAGGATATGGGGAGCCATAAGTAGCGTGGCCCTGAAAGGGAAGCTGATGGCACGGGCGACCAGCTCGCCCAAGCACGGAGCAAGCTGCCACTTCCACCATCTGTTACATCTTAATAACTTCAGGGAGCGGAGGGCAGCTGGGATGCTGAGCTCGCAGGTGAGAACTTGCCGGGAGGATCCCACGGGAGCCACGGAGCAAATCCCGCAGTGGGCGCCAGCCGGGGCTGGAGCAGAGTCGCCCCCCTCCGACATCGGCACCGCGGCTCCCGCCCTTGCACAGGGCAGAGGCTGCTGGTCACACGTCATGCTTCGTGGCCGGAAACACGGGATCCGGGAGTGCAGCGGTGCTTTGGTTACTCCAGACACAGCCCTGCTGGCGTTGGAACTGGGAAAGCCACTGCCTCGCCCTGGCCAGCTGCAATGAATAACTGGACCAGGGAGCTTTAGGGCGCAGACTCTTGACTGTGCAGTAGAGGTCGGATCTCAGTTCTCAATACACTAAAACAAAGTCAACTTTTACTCGACTTAACAATAACTTCCATGCAAGCTGCTCACCTTATATATCTTAAGTCAATTCAATCACCAACATCGTTACCAGGTTTCGGTCTGCAACCGCAGACCATTAGTAACACGACGCCCGTAACATTCGCTGCCAAAGAAACTACATCGATCGGGCTGTCTCCAAAAGGCTGATTTAGGTGCACGAGCTTCTGATTATTATTATTAATTTTTTTAAAACTTTATGCACCTAAAGTGACTTTCAGCACTTTAAGAAGTGTGTACCAAGCGCTTTCAGGCTTGGTGCTTTGTTTGGGGGGGGGGAAAAGAAAGATCAAAGTCCTCATAGATTAGAGTTGACATCTCATACTTCCACCCACTGTTTTCCAAAGATATCGCTTATCTTTAAAACGGGAAATTCTACCGGAACCGGTGGAAGTTTTCCAGCCAGTGGATGCTTTTAAAGACATCTCCTCAATGAGGTAGCATATAAGCTTTTTTTCCAACGGAGAAATGCTTAAAACACAAAGGAGGTTTTCTTTCTCTTAATTAAATTAATACAGCCACAACAAAAATATGCAAACCCAAAATGCACTGCAAGCCACAACTTTTCTTTAAATACTTCAAAAGCAAAGTATCTTGCATAAGCACACCAACATAAAGGAGAAGATTTCAGCCCAGCAAATACAAGCAGCTAGTTTAGAGTAATAGTTTCAAAAAATTTACTAGCTGCATTTTCTGCCATCGGCTCTGTTCCTCAGGAAAAGACCGCAGGAGAACTGTCTGCGTTAATGACAGCCGTGTCCCATATCCCGTAGCAGTAGTTGTGACCTTCAGGCCTCCTGTGACTGACAGGCTGACCCCGAGCTCTCCAGGGTGCAAGGTAAATGACAACCAAAGAAGAAAAAGAAAGAGAAGAGAAAGAAAACTTGCTGCCGGCTTTGTAGCCAAGCTTCCTAATAAAAACTAATTCAAACTGTCAGGGTGAAATGAAGAAAGTGTCAACAGGGCTTTTCAGAGAAATATTCCAAATGTTTGGCTAGAAAACCCAACAGCTCAGCTCCCTGCCCCCAGCCCCAAACCACCCCTCAGAAAGGGCTGGAAAAGCCAATGTCGAAAGGAATTTTAATAACTTGTCCAGGGGGACCCCCGAGGAGGGACCCAAGGGAACACTTTTCTTCCATTCCCTGACAAACCCAGTAATCCTCGTAACGGTGAAGAGTGCAAAACTCGCCAGAGAAGTGCCAACGGAGGAGTCCAGCGACACTATCGTCCGCATGAAAGAGGACCATCCTGCTGCCTGTAGAAACCAAGGCGTTTAATGGCGACCTACAGGTTAGGAGCCTTGGGACCCACCAAAGGGAACATCCTGCCACCAGTGAATGGGCGAGATTAAAGTCGGGGACCGATGGTGAGAAACGTCCTGTGCTTCTGCACCAACCAACAGCATGCCATGGCTCTCACAATTATTAGCCCTCTCACAAGGAAGAGAGCTGAAATGCCAAAGAGCCTCCCGTAAATGCTGAAACACCTGGGTTAGCCCCTGCAACACTATTAGAGCTTCGCATCAGAGCAACTGGGGCAATACTCAGCTTCAGGCTGTGCATTAAGCTGCCAAGGAAGGTGAAAGCCCTCATACAGCCCAACCGCTTGCTAGCAAGGTGCTGCAAGCCCTCGGAAGGGGAGAAGGATCCCTCCTTAAGGTAAAATGCCATCGTTAATTTACACGCTTCTACCAAGTTGAGCACATTACTGGGTTTAAAAAGAACAGCACGCAAACACTGGTGAAAACAGCATCAAAGCACCTTGGGATGGAGAAAGGTAAACATAAGGAGTATTTTGGAAACTGCAAAAAAAAAAAAAAAACCACCCTATATATTCTCATGGGAAGAAAAAAACAAAGAGAAGTCAAAGCTTATTAATATATAGGAGCAAACAAAACTTCTGGAGTCCTCGAATTGACAGAAGCCTTGTTCTGCCTTTATCTGCACTCCAAACTCAGGGCCTGCGCCACCAACAAGTGTTAACGCGCCCAGCACTAGCTAGAGCACAGGACTGGATGATACCCACCTAGCTCCAACCACATGCTGAAATTGGAAGCAAAACCCCACCACTCCTGCCAGACTTCAGTGCAGGAGCTCATGCGACACCTAATCCACAGGGGAGAAGACCCCCAACCATGTTCCCGGATAATGCATGCAAATAGTTTCTTCCTACTACAGAATAAACTATCTGCACAGGTGGGGCCTGCTGCACTACCCAAACCAGGGGGAACTTAGGTGATCCCATCTCATTCATTAGGAAAAATCTCCCTCAGAAATAGAGACTTCTGATTTGAAGCTGTGGAGGTTTTGGAATGTCCCTTGCACCACTGCATCTACCAAAGCTGGTTCCTCCCAAGTACAGCGCTGTGTCAGAGTCCGCATCTCTACGCGGCCCCCACAAGCCAGCGTCTTCTCCAAAGTGAGGGGAAGGGCGGCCGAGTGAGGGCAACCCAGGCAGACACAGGGCCCAAGAGCAGTAGGGAGGATGAGCCCAGACACAGGGGGATCAGCGACCCTGTGGTATTGGGGACTGCCTTCGGACCTGGCTGCACGCACGCTGCTGCAGCCGCACCAGGAGGCTTGAGGTCGGCCCAGGCAGCCCAAGCTATACCAGGCACTGACCCAAAGATAAAGGACATCGCTGTCTTTCTCGAGACAGCTAGATTCATCTATGCAGTACAAGTGACTCCGAGATGTCTCGGAGGAACAGCCCCTCTCTTTTTATGCAGCTAGCATGGTATCGTGCCATCTGTCCCTGTACGAGACAGGTATTTTGAAGACTTAGCAGGCTCTTCTTATGCAAAAGGTGCCACTGCTCCAAGGAGAACGTCACCTCCAGCCAGGAGGGGACATATCCAAGCAGCCACATCGACTGAAGGCTTGGGGAAGGGAATTCACACTTTACTCATAATGAGATCTTTCAGTGCAGGCAGAGTTGCAGAGCTACTGTATTACAACCATTAGCACAATCACCCCATACCTCAGGTGAAGGTCTTCCGAGAACTTCAGACAAGCATAGATGAATTCCTTAATCTGATTGTAAACTTTAGGCACAAACTCAGAGAAGGGGAACTTCTTTGGAAACGGTTGCTGTAAAATACAGGAAAGAGCTAAAGTAAGTCAACGAGCAGATATTTAAGAGGGAGGCTCGCCTCTCACAGCCAGCCTCGAGTGACGACTGCTTTCCAGCTGTGTGTTCCAAGCAGTCAAATTAATTCTAATATTTAGCTAAGTCCAGCAATGAAACAACAAGCCAGCATTTATTGTATATTATATAAACATTTCAGCCAAGTGAAAGACCAGATAATCACTTACAAATGGCCCAGCGGTGCATAAGGGATTTGGGCTGGAAGGAAACTTGCAGCTAGAAAGGAGCAGGCAGAAGAACACTATTCTTCGTCCCCACTCCCTTACCCTTATTAAAAAGAAATCAACAACCACCACCACTCCCCACACACCCCTGGAGAACTCTTTCACTTTTATTTCCCACTATGCACAAGGCATTTTGCTTGGTCACCTCCCACGGTTATTGCCCAAGGTGAGCGCTAGCTTACAACAACACCAAAAGCCAAGAGGAAACAGATGTCCTGTCACTCGAACCCCATTTGAACGAGACATGGCAGACATGGCTGGAAGGTGCAGAGCATAACACTGACAAACTGAACACCCTGATATAGTTTTGGGGAAGGACATAGCCTTTTTAAAGTCTAAACACTTAACTTGGATTGAAAACCTCCCTTTCCTAATTAAGTTCACCAGGCTTGGAGCTCACTGTCTGCCAGATGTGGAGTGCAAGGCCAAGCATGCTTTTAAGGTCAAATTTGGCTGCACTATTAGGTTTTGTAAGCACACACTTTTACAAAAGCCAAGATATACCGTTCTGTTGGACTTTTTTTTTTTATTATGAGAGATTAAAACAAATAAAGGTCAATAACATGGTTCATAAAATGGAAATAAAATACCAATGGAAGCAGATATATTTAGTATCTCCCTCACACACTGCAAGTATTGCTGAACTGTAGTAGTGCCTCGTGATCCGAAAAGAAAATTGATGAGATATTGGTATACGCACTTTCCTCAACCATGCCAAGAGAAACGCAACACACGGAAAGTATTCTTGTTCTTTTTTCTTGGGTTCTCTTTTTTTTTTTTTTTCTCGACCCTTTTATTTTTAACAGTAGCAAAGGTGCATCAGGAGATACGCTGTGCAGGTTGCTCCCTTTAAACATTACCTTTTCGAGTTCAGCATCCTGGAACGGGAACTGTCCAACTATTTTCTTATAAATCTCTTCATTTGTTACTGGGATGGGACTGTAGTTATCTGAATCAAGTATATTTCTTTTAAAAAAAAAAAAAAAAGGAAAGAGACAGCTACAGCAATCCTTCCTGCAAACAGCATCATCGCTATCAATACTTCAACGTTAAAGCCAATGCTCCAAAGAGAGACCCACCACAGTTTGACACATTTCTTCCTGTTCAGTTGACCCAGCTCTTTAGAAATAGGTGCCAGGAGAAGATTTGATCTACAGCAAGGAATCCCACAGGCTTAAAACTTCTCCCCATATTTCTGATTGCTGATACTGTCTTTGCTGTAGCCATACACAGCAGGTCTCCAAGCTCCCTGCCTTCAGCCTATACAAAACCCATGACCACAGCTCAGCAGTGCTTTCAAATCAGCCTGGAGGTTCAACAGCAGTTGAAAGCCCAAATGAGCTCCAGTCCTCTTTCATTCAGTGAAGAGGGATGCTCCTCGAGCACCGACAAACCTCCAGCACCTTGAGACAGCTAAATCCTCCCAGGATTTCCTGGAGGACCAGAGCACAGCATGGCACCCCAGATAACCTCATGCGCCCCACCTGTGGGCAGCAGATCAACTTGCGGACATGCCCACCGCCATGCAGTGCCACCAACATCTAAGCGATGCACGTGGCTCCATGCAGGAACGAGGACATAGCAACAGTGCTGTGACACAAGTTTTTTACGTCCATCCAACTGCCAGGGTGGATCCGTAACGACAGCATAACCGTATCGCTCCATGATGTAAAAGGTTTGGCACACACTGCTTTATTGCACATAAGATCCTCACAACCGAATTTAAATAGGATTTCCCAGGTCCAAGGAGAGCTCATGCTAAGACTAACAGTGCCCAGAATTAGACATGAGCTTGCCACCAGTCTCTCTTAAAAGAATAATTTTATTTATGGGCTAAAACTACTTTGTAAGGTTAGTCTCGTTAGGGCACAGGTTTGCTCATGGAGCTTCTTACCTGAAAACTCCTGACCATTTCTTGAGCAAGGTTTCACTATACTGGTCTCGGATTTCCAACAGCATGTCAAAGAGCTGGTTCACTGGGAAGCCGTAGCCCTGCATTGGGGGGGAAAGAAAGCAACTCAGTTCAGATAAGAAAAAGTCACCAACAGGGCATTAAAGGTTACTTTCTGCATTTAGCAGGGAGGACGTGAGCAAATTCAATCTGTTTACAATCGCAGCTGCATCCAGAGGTCAGGATTCGTTGGTGGAGTCTGGAGGTCATGATTCACAGAGGCAGTAGTGCCAACTGAAATTAAAGGCTTTGGCACCATCCGCGAGCAGGGTTGTACAAGGCCGCAGCGAAGCGGCCGAGGCTCAGCCCTCGCTGTGGGCCGGCTGCCCCATGCGTGGCCCGGAGGCGGTCAGTCGGGCGCCGTGGTTCACCCACCCCGACATGAAAAAGAAGCCGCGCTGCCACAGCAAGCTGATGTCAGCCATTTAAACCTGTTGACGGATGTTTTCGGCGAGCAGCACCAGCATTTAGTGAGATAAATGCCAGCTGCCGACAGTTACGTACCTGGAGTGTGTCTGCAAAGAGGACGATGAGGTTCTTCAAGTCCAACACCAGGCTCGGGTCAGAACAGTAGGACTGCAAAAAAAGGGGGAAATTAAAACATATTTAACTGCAACAGGCGGGAAAATATTCCACTCTGTCCTCCTGTGTTATCACTTGTGCGATAACAGAGAGGCACGCAACACAGTCTTGCAGCTTTTATCGTAGAGCATAAGCCATAACGTGGTACGGGGCAAGGGAAGATATGCTGATAAGGGTCTCTCTCCTTGCAGCGCTCAGCTCTGGGGGCTCTCCATGATGAATAACGAGTTCAGTTGCTCTAGAGATACCTGAAGTGTCTCTAAGATTACCCAGGAACAGCTGGGTTTTTACAAGGGAAGCGAGAAGAGATGAAGCAAATCAGCGTGCTGCCGTACCCAAAGATGGCATCACCTCTCATGTAATATTTAGCATGTTGCGTCTGACGGCAATGAAGCATTGCAGAGAGGTATCCCCAAGCCCCCTTCGAAGACTGCACTGCTAATTGGAAGACTGAGGTTGAGGAAAAACATGCTGCACACCTACATTTCAGCAGCATTAACGGTCACAGCTCCAATGCAAATACTTACTGAGGGTCAGGACACTGCTTGAAACTCTAAAGACGCCAGGGAGCCCAGGGACAGCCATGGACCTGACCCTTATTACCCACACGCTCTGGGCATTATCTCTGCGCTAGCAGACAACCTCGCTACGGTGAAATATGTAAAGCTTCAGACAGACTCTTACCAAATATAGAATCAGTGATCATAAGCTGGAAAAGAAAACTGAGATTTAAAGCTCGCTGGAAACTCAAGGAGGAATGACTCCATTAATCAATGTGAACGACTGGAAGAGACACACTTTCCATTCCACTGTCCAGAAAAAGAAAGTCAGAAAGAAAGATAATGCCCTAAAGCTATCAGAAGTGATAAAAGATGTCCCAGCCTACAGCAAGGAAGAAAATCCAGGCACAGGAGCTTGGCTGGGTGGAAAGCAGTGGGAGAGCCTCACCAAGGTGACAGCACCCACCAAATCGTAACGCTAACATGGTGGGACAGGCAGCACAGGTCCTCATGTGAGCTGGAGGCTGAATGGTGCACAGAGGTGACAGTGATGGCCACAATAGTAGAGCTGAGAAATTGTGTAAAATGCCACAAATACTGAGGGGGAAAAAAAAAGTCTTCTCCTGGCAGCCACTTCAGGTGTAAGTTTGGCATTGCTTAAAACAACTTGTCAAGGCAACGAATTTGGTAAAATTGAGAAAGAAAAATTCAACGTTTGTGCCCGTTTTACTCTCGTGGCTTGCACACTAGCACAAAACCGCCAACTGGAGATAAAGGAAAAAAACACACCTAAAAACAGCTCTGCAACACAATTGTTCAGCAACACAGCCACCGCATGCTAAACTAAGGTGAAGAGCAAGGAAATGCGTAACTCCAGGTGGTCAGGAGGAAGCAGCATGTTGTGCCTCCACGCAAAAGTTTTAGGGTTTTCTCAGAATCATATTAAGTAACGCTGCCGGAAGCGCAAGAGAGAAGAGCAGAAAAAGGCTTTTAATAGCATGGAAATGTTATCGCAAGCTAGAAGGGGTCACAGTCAACTGTAAAACTGTATGAGCCAGACAGATTTGGGGGGGAAAAAAAAAAAAATCAGATTAAAAAACAGCTGGTGGGAGGATGCTGCAAAGCAACGCCCCCTCATCCACACAACCCAACGCGTTTCGCCAGTGGGTCCTCCCAAAACTGCTAGCCAGGAACCGAAAAGACGGCGCACCACCGGCGAGCCCTGTCGCGGCGGCGGTCCGTCGCATTGGGTACAGCTGGCAGCAAAGCAACCTGGCAGCAGCTTCTTGCTTCCCAACAGTAGCAATGGGGTTTTAATGACTTAATGACGTGTTTTTCTGGAGAAAATGTCCTAATTATTGGAAAAGAGACTCGGGGAAAATTATTAACACTTTTTTAATACACCCAATGCACTTTTTTTCCCCCCTTTTACCAAGAGGGTGGTTTTTACTAAGCCATGAAACATCAAAAACTCAAGTGTTCCCAGCTAAGAGAGTATGACACGATACCAGAGCATGCAAAACTGGACGAGAATTGTACCTTTTTTGCTACTGGCTTTGGGTTTTTTTTCGCTCAACCAGAGAAACAGCAAAGTGATAAGCAATCTTTCCAAACTTCTTTCAGTATTACGGAGTAAGACACCTATTTAATGTCTTCTTAAGCATATACTGGCTGTAGCTTGACAGCATCCCATTCACTCCTGTTAACTCTGAGAGAATATCCAAAAGGGTCATGCTTCACTGTTTCAAATAGATTTTTTTTCCCCGTTTTACAGGACAAACGGACTCCCTCTGCTGGTGCAACTCCAAAGTGGTCAACTAAATAACAAAATACCAAAAAACTATTTTGTTATTCCCAGTCTCCCCAAAAAATGGAGAGTTTGGTAAAAGGAAACACACTGCATGGAGAGTCAAGAAAGCTGAAGATACTTTTTGGAAAAGAGCAGTATATCTTCACTTTATTGGGTTAAAAAGAATCGTAGGCAAAGAGGCAAAACAAAGACTACCGCTGTAAAAAGCAGTACTTCAGCATGTCAAACCATACTCAAGCAACAGCTGAACAATCTGTGGCTTTTACTTACTGAATGTGTTCTCAGTGCTGCAATAGTTTTGGATAAAGCCATCTCCCACAGCTCATCAATATAGGCTCTATTTACCAAGCCCTGGGTCGTATGCAAGATGTGGTCTTCAACTACGAAAAACCTAATGGGGAGGGAGAAAACAGCACTGCTGTCAGAAGTTACAGGTTTCAAAGCCTCGGCAGAGGCTTGCCAACGCTGCATGCAGAGGACGCGCAGTATTTGCGCACGCACAAATCTCCAGAGCAAGCTCAGATTCGCAGTATCACCTGCCCCAAATACAGCCAACACTAAAAATGTTTATTCATCTATTTTCAATATTGCAGTATTTTACGTTAAGCTTCACTGCATTATATAAGCGAACAAAAATACAGTTGTTCCTAGTAACGCAGCTCCGTAGATGCACAAAGGCAGAATTTTCCCTCTTTAAATTCTCCACCCCGTTATTCAGAAGAAAACCGCTGATTAAATCCTACTCCAGCCAGCAGCAATCGCATTACAACTGGTTAACTGCAGGGAAAATACTCCGGCGTGCCTGGATACACCATACGCTCACAAACATTTAAAGGCAATCAGTTCACTCCAATTTTCAGTTATCAAATGTACTGGTCCAAAAGAAACAGTCTGATTTAGGGAACAAGTGTGACACAATACATTTTAAAACGGTAACGCGCAAAACCGAAGAGGAGTGCGAAGCCGTGTTAGAAGGCCAGCAGCGCACCCCGCACTCGCAATTGCAACTGCATGCGGAAATTTAGCGCCAGTCTTGGCTGAAGACATTTCAATGGCGTACCCTATCTTTTTTAGATTAGTGGTCTTAGGTTCCTTCCGCTTAGACATCGGCTGGTTTGGGAAGACTCCTGCCAAATTAGACTGCAATAATAAGAAGCTCATTGGAACAGAGGTTGGATATTCTCTTTGGAATCACTCCATTTACCAGGAAAGTTGTACAAGAGTAATTATCCGGTATTACAGAATAACTAAGACAGAGGGGCTATTCATCGCATTATCGGAGCAAGGAGACACACACAGTCCATCAAGCTTATTTACCCTCAAACTCTCGGAAACACGCTCACGGGGCCCACGGGCTGGCAGGTCCCAAAGCGCTTGCTCTAATGACACAGCCAGCTTTCGAGCGTTATAAAATATACCTCCATTTGCAAATGCTAAAGGAGCACTAACCACACCTGCCCTGTTTTGGCTCCTTTAAAGGACCTTCCAAAAGATCAACATTTCCTCCTCTCTTATTTCTTTTCGGGCCATTCGACAACCCCGGGCGCACATATTTAGCGAGAGTGTATATAAAAAGAATACCTACCCTACAATTTGATTAAAATACTTCCTGTAGCCATCTAAAGTTTCGTGCTGCAACAAAGAAAAAGCGAGCAAAGATTAGAACAAAGGCGGCCAGCGAAACTGGAAACAACTCTGAGACCACCCACAAGCCGCGATCCGCACTGAGACAACGGGCTGCTCCTTTACCAGGCAAAGCAACTTTGCTCACGGAAACTGCGGAGCAATCGTACCATATTCGAAGGAGGCTGCAGGACCAAGCGAGCTTGTTTTCTCCTCTGTTTCCTGTAGTAGTTCTCAAAGGTCTCGCGGGCTCCCTGAAAAACAGAACAAACCCATTCAAGTCGCCAGCCTTTGTGTTAACCCCAGCTGCTTTCGCATTAAAAACTACTATGTTTTAAGATGTAAAGCGCAATTTCTTCTGGCACATCTGTGTAACGCTTTCCTACAAACCTTAATCCAAATACCAGACGACAAAGAGTTTTACCCTAGGCACTAAGTCAAGTAACAGGCTACTGAGGTACCCGAGGATCTGGCGAGCGCCTCCGTACTCATCTTCCAGCATCCCTGTGCACATGTGGTCACATGGCGGTGTAGGACCAGCTTCTTTACCGGACCATAACGTGAACAACCATCAGATTTTGCACACTTAACCCTGGCGATAGTGAACCAATCAAAACTCTAATGTTGGCAAAAAGAAAGGGGGTCCAAACAATGCCAAAAAGCAGCAGAAATCCTACACTGATTCACAGGGGAGGTAGTGCCGTTACAGCCGCAACAGGCAGAGAATTTAGGAAAAAATGTAGTTCATATCATTATTTTGTAGGTGGCTTGTTTTACCAAGCCGGTCTAGATCTGAGCGTCCCCACCCAGGCAGCACAACCATACTGAGATCCAGGATCCTCAGATGCCATCAACCTGATGAGGCCTTCCGACCTTCAACTACTGCTCAGGTCCCCTAGGCTATGCAAAACCCAGCTGTTTCATCCCTGCCTATTCCTTCCTCCCCCACACTCGTACTGTTTTTATGTCTGAAACTGGATTAGAAACACTTCAGAGAAGGGACACCGGCTTGCTTTGAACTGGCGAGAGCCAAAAATCTCATTTGGAATTCACAAAACAAACAAAACGCAACAACAAGTACACCTGCCAAAGAAAGGCACCAGGCTTCAAACTTTCCCACTAAAAAAAAAAAAGTTAATTTAATAACTCTCCTACAATCACTACTCAAGCAGTCTGCCTTAAGAAGCCTGCTACTCAAGGGGTCTTAGGAAGTTAATGAATTACCCTTACAGACCTTCAGCCCAACTCGCGCTCTGCCTTCTGCAAGTTAGGGCTCCAGGTTTAAGAAGATCCACTGATCTTCTACTCCCCTCCTCCAGGTGACTGTCCCTAGTCCCAACCTCACTCTTTGTGAAGGACAAAGCCATTTCTTGAGAGGCAGGTCCCCCATTCAATGACCTGTGCCTCAGCCACATGTACAAGGATCCTACAGCTGGGACTTCAGTTGAAATTCAAGTAACTTCAAGGAACTTGCAATTTTCTCCTGAAAGACAACTCCAGGAGGTATTGGTCTTGTTTCTAGATTATGCAGTAAATCTGTTTGGCCAACAAAACTTACTTTTCTTTTGAGTTAAGCACAAACGTCCTTCAGAAGACCTGCGAGTGTGGCACACCAAGCTCTGACTTCCTTTCATGGTCCTCTCCCAGATTTGGGAAACGGCGTTTCGCAGGATCCTGGTGCTACCCCTCTCCTCCAAGCTTTGATGACGCAATCAGAGAGCAAAGACAGAACAAGCTGGCCCACTCCCAGCCCTGCCACTGACTGCACCCAACTTCAGACGTGTCATTAAATCATGCTGTGCCTCATCTCTCAAAATCTATGCAGGTAGCAAAAACGAACTTGACTATCTCCAAAGCTGAACATACCAAGAACTCTCCTCTGGTTGCACCAGGATTTTTGAGTGAAATGACTTAGACTAACCTAGTGCAGCCTGCTGTTACCAGTGAACTTGTGGTGCAAACTCACAACTGAAGGCTTTTTTCATTTTTTTTCAATACATTTCCAAGTAAATAGAAAAAAAAGAAACACTTATTGGAAAAGCAGGGATGGACAGTATCAGCTAAGGTAAGAGCACACAGAGGTCAGCCCCAACCTCCAGCCCAGGGCACCGACATGCGATTCGGTCCCTCAAGCCAGCCGCTGTGATTAGCTTCACATAAAATCCTTTGGAAGTCCCTGGGTAATTAATTCCCAATAACTGAACATATACAAACTGCCATCTCTCCAAATTATGCAGACAACGCTTTGCGGTGACCTCGAGGACTTACTGGAAACATGGAAGGCAGGTCACTGGTTTCAGACTGACATCCTGCTCCTAATTAGGCATTTTAAACACCAAGATTTTGACGATTTCTGCTAGGACTATGCCACAGGGCATTTCAGCTGAAATCCCTTTCCCTCATCCCTCCAACTAAGTCCAAGAAGAGCTGCCCCTTGCTCACCCTGCCCTCGTTACCCATTTTGAGGGGAAAGAAAAAGCAAAAAGTCATCCTTTGGCACTGGGGATGAACTGCAAGCCTGTGTTTCTTTTGGAGAATGTTTTCTATCCCTATTTTTTGCTGATGGCTTAAAGGAAGATGAAGCTTTTGGCTCAACTTTACAAAGCTCTCCGTGAATTGACCCAATTTAGGACTGAATTTCAGAGGAAAAATGTTTTTCACAGATACTAGAAGTAAGAGCGATATCAACTGATCTCAAGATATCTTATTAAGAATTTACTACAAAGCAGCTCTCGCTGTGGAGTGAAGCCTCTTCACTCCCACAGGATCCTTACAAAACTCTGGAGGCCAGGGCCTCCTTGTTTCAGTATGGCTTTAACGGTACTAGGGGAGAAGGAAGATCACCAAGGAGCTTTGAAAGCATTCCCCAAAAACGTACACCATCTTCACCTTTTAACCTTTCACACTAAAGTCTTAGGCTGAGACCTGCTGATTTGATCAAAACCATCTCCCTCCCAATGCCACTGATTCCCATTTTCTTTCTTGAGCAGATTTTAAATGCCTCAAATATTAGAGGCCCTCTCACGAGAGCTTATTCAATGAACAATTATCCATCCTCCTAAAAAAATCTCTCAACACTACCCATGATTTTCTTATGCACAGTTTCATCATTTTCTCTTAAGTCCATTCCTCCATCATCTCCTTAGACTTTCTTACTGCTCATATATTGTATTCTCCTAAGAATGGGAAGTCCTCCTTCTCTTTGGTGGCAGTTTTAGCTAGACCACCCAGTTTCACACATTTTATCTATTTAAGACTATACAACTTATCAGGTCTTCAGAGAATATTCTTCTTCCTCTTCTCTGTACTCTATTTTTTTAATATCATTTTCCTCTGGGTAAAAAATAAGCCAAAAAAACAAACAAACAAAAACAAACCACACCAAAAACTATCCAGAACTCATTGCGAGACCCCATGTTTTATAGACCACTCATCTGGAAACAGCAAACAGTTTGAATATCTCCAAGGAAGACGACTCCTCCAACCTCCAGTATTTATATTTAGATCCTATTCTCCTCTCATAGCCCCACACGTGGTGGTTATTCACATTTAACCAATCCTGTCATTACCTCCCTTTTTTCAGACCTGTGCGCATACGTGCCCTATCCCTGGTTGCCGTGTCCTCTCAATGGGAACCAAGCCAACCTTCTCCGTGTTACGCTCTTAAAAGCGACTATCTCACTTTGTAAAGATGCAGTGCACTTGCGACATCTTTTCACTTTTAAACAAAATACGTTACATATGCAGATTTTAAGAGGCATATGGCAGGCCCGACAGCTGCGACAACCTGGGAAATACTACCGGAGGGAGAGCAACTCCAATCCCTGACCTCCCACTGCCGTCCCACCTCAGCACGGGCCAGAACTGGTCCTTGGAGAGCAGCAAGATGCTGCTTATAAGTGTCCTTAGAGGGGCCAGGATCCTTGCTCCTTCAGGGTTTCTAGTATGCTTCACCTATAATTTGGGGAAGACAGGTAAGCATGCTGGGAAAAGGAGAAGGAGATGCCTCGTTTATTTATCCATTTAGTTTTTATAAGAACAGGTTTCCCCCAATTGTCAGCCCATCTACTTAAGCAAGCAGGACGACTCTAAAGCTACACTTCCAAACTACATATTTCTTCTAATCGCTGGTCCAGGAAAAACCCTCAATAACGCCTCGTATTTTTAAAATTACCAGGTAGAACGTTCCTTCTCAAATTAGCTTCAGATTCACAGAGCTGGCAACGAGAGGGAGATAATTAAGATTGTAGATGAGCACTGCATAAGGGAAAACAGAAAATAATCACAAGAATGCAAAAAAAAAAAAGGGCTAAAAAACCCAAAAAAGTTTCGTAACTCAGAAGCAGCAGAGAGCCAAAAGTAAATCTAGATGTGAATTATGCGGGAAAAATGTGCTGTAAATTTCCTGCAATCTATTCGCTGCTGTCCTCAGCAAATAATTTAAATGCCAGCAAAGTGGGGTTTCTGCATCCAGAACACGCAGGCGGCGAGGTCTTGCATTAATAAATTTCTGCTTCTCTTACTATCCTGGAAGCAGAAACCACCCCCTGTGCTGTATATTATTATAATTTACCAGCAGCATACGATGGCAGGAAGCAGGCCCACAACCACCTGCGACTCCAATGCAGTTGTTACAGGCTGCGCCATCTCACACACTTCGCAGTCCTTGCAACATTTCCCCAGAAACCCCCAGGATCCTCCAGACTCTTACATTAAAATGTTGGTACAAAGGAAACAAGGTGATGTGCTGTTTCCCCTTTCACCTCAGAAAGGCGAGGTGACAGGCAAGGTTCATCATCAGGATGAACCCTGCTGGGACTAGGTACCTGTAGTTAAAAGCAAACCAAGTAGCTCAAATCTGTAGGCAGAGTAGATTACTTCCTAGGTAAGACCCAAGCTGTGCTTGGTTCTGTGCATAAAGAGGGACACCAGTTTAATGGCATCCACAGAACAGGCAGAAACAGCCTCAATTCATTGGTAACAGCCTCTTTTCAAATCCCTTGGAGAAGGGTTCTTTTACAGCCTCCTATCCACCAAGCATGCCATTCTCAACACTGCAGCTCTGGTTTAAGCAGATAGGTCAAAAATGAACTTGGGTTTAAGATTCTCGCTGACAAGGAAGAGAGCCACGGTCCATCTGGATTTTGTAACGTACCAGCAATTGCTACTGTATGACCTGGATTTTTCTTAAACTCATCTCTGGCCTTTACTGGCTCTTCATCCTTCTTTTGACTTTGGTCCATGGAAATTCTTA